TCAGTGACTGACATCAATAGTGGTGCAGGTCAAGTGATTAGTGAAAGGTAAGACAACTAACCTTGAACAGACCCCAAGAAACAATTACAAAGTGGAGCCCGAAGTAAGGGCGGGTAAAAGAACAGTTACACAACAAAGATTCAGTATGCATCTCAGATGACAGCACAAACTGAGATACATATGATGAGATATTTATTTTCAACAGAATATGAGGGATTTTGAACCAAAGCACGTGGATACTTTTCAACATTTCTGAGATTAGTCTGCTTAAAAAACAAACTATATTATTATTATTATTATTATTATATTGTATTATATCATTATTTAGTTGATTTAAGGTCTTCTGAGGTCTAAAAATGGAACAAAAATGCTATATTAGCAACACTAGAAAATCACAAAATACATTTCCAGACAACACCATTTATACTAGATCATATGGAAAAATGGACGGATGGATATGACCTCCATGTATGATGTTCAACCATGCAGATTTGCACCAAAATGCCTAAAAATAAATATATTATTAACAGCTTTCCAACTTACTACGTGAATGAAATACCAACAAGACAACAATTTCCTTCCCTAATTAGAATCCCTCACTCTAGCTTGAGAATCCTTGCCTTGGTCTCGTGTTTCTCATCGCGTTTACGCCTGCGTTGCTGTTCCTTCAATTCAAGAAGAGTCAATTCCTCTAATTTTCTCCTTTCTGCCTCTTCCTTTATTTTGATTTGTGCAATACGACGGGACTGACGTACAGGCATCCCAGAACTAGGACCAGCACCACCTTCCTTGCTTGTCTCTTCCAAGATGATGTCAACTCCCACGTCCAATCCAAGCAATCGGCGGGCTGTAAAACGATTACTCATATATCCAACTACTTGCAACTGAAAGTACAGTAAATAAATTAACCCTCTGCTAAAAATCTGCAAGTTTAACACAATCCACATAAGACTCCACTCTTAGACCTAATTCTAAGCCAGCTCAATCCAATACATATCACCATTTATAGAAAATTAATAATATTACTGCATTTACTCAACTTTAACGTAACAATTCCACATTCTTACTCCCATTCAATCCACAACTGACAAAAATGTACATAAAATATGATTTACTAATTTCTAGGAACACAGACCAAAAATCAGCATATACAGAGAGTATCATACAATATGGGCCATGCCACAGCTCAAGCAGTTAGTCACTCGCTTCCCACTGCGGCAGCCCGGGTTTGATCCTGGGTCTGGTCAAGTGAGGTTTGTGGTGGACAAAGTGGCACTGGGGCAGGTTTTCTCCAAGCACTTCGGTTTCCCTTGCCAATCTTCATTCCACCAACTGCTCCACAATCACCCTCACCTATCATCTGGGGCTGGCACAATAGGCCAGAAGTGGCCGCAGTACAAGGGACTTAGTGCCACCCCACTAGCCATAAAAAAAATCATAATCAAAAGCACAAATATTACACTTCTGCCAACATTACCACCATATCCACATATAACTTATCAGGCTCCACTTTTTAAGCTGCATGCCTAGTGGCACTATTTCTGAGACACACTGTGTAATCATGTGGCAGTCATCAGACATGAATTCATGCGTTCAACATTCTTACAACCAACAACTCAGTAAAAAGGAATGATGCTGGTAGTGGAAATATTCTTTCAAAACACTCTAATACTGTTGTATTTTAGCGTCCTGTTGCACTGATTCATGTCCATGATGTGTATGTACTGACCGTCTTCTAGTGCATACAATCTCACTTGTCACTTCACTACATATTTCGGCATCACTGTGCCATCGTCAGGTGTGTTATTTACGTTAAACTATTGCACTGTTCGCCATCATGTGTCATTTATAAAATGATTTAAAATGTAATTTGTCATGTACTATAATAAAATTTATATATTAATATTTTGTTAAGATTTATCATCTTATACGTCGTATTTCAAACTCGTGTATTATTACAATCTTCTGCTATGGGAGTCGTTCTTCCTATATTTTGTGTATACTGTGTTTTGTGATGTGTCCTTCTCTTGTGGCTGCATGCGTTGTATTCAATACAACGCACGCAGCCACAAGAGCCAATCTTTATTCCACCAAACTGTCCATCATCATAATCACCCAGGGCAGGTGCAATACAAGTTATGAAGCTCCTCATTATGCAGGTTTCTCCAACCTCCTCTCACTTCATCTCTCTTCAGTCCAAATACTCTCAACACCGTTCTCAAAAACCCTCAATATATGTTCCTCCCTTAATGTCACAGATTACAGGTGCCTATTTGTAAAATGAGCAGAAGTAATGGTAGCATTGTTTTGCATACATACAGTACTGAAGGCCACATGTGGGTGGTGGGTGTTTATTCCATGAAGACATAAAGACCTTCCTTCAAGCTACTAATAATTTTCAGTTGATATGTGAGCCTGGTCAGCACCCGGCCAAGAACATGACATAGCTAACATGACCCATACATAATGCATGGAATTTAAACAGCAGCTCTTGATGTGATCCATCTGCAATGTGTTAAAGACATGTGAGGGTTGTTCAGATGAAACCTATTTGCATGAAGACATTCAGCTGTTCCAGCAGCAGCCAAATTCTTTGTTGATGGGATCTAACAGATGGTGCATCAACAAGATGCCCATCTCACTGCCCACTGGGACCATTTTTGACGGTCTCTTCCTCAGTCCTCCATATGGCTACTTTCCATGAATGTTTCCCACTGAAGTTCTGCATGAATCACTGCATCCTACATTCCTGTCAGACATCTAGCTCGCAGTAGCAACCTTCTTAACTTAACATAAATTATCTGAAATTCCTCACTTAATGAAGAAACTCACTGAGTAGCTGTTTCATGTGGTGAAAACTGTACCCTCCTAGCTCTGTTTACTTTCTCAACAGAAATGTTTAAAATGTGTACACTCTTTCTAGGGCACCTTGTACATTTCAGACACACAAGAAACAATGGAAAAAATTATTTTTCTTATACATGGTACCTCAAACTTTGGCGACTTAAAATAAGTGGATAACAGTTTTTGGACTAAATCCTAGCTACTTTATGTGACTATAACTGTCATCTTCGCTACAAAGTTGTTTAACAATTTAAATATCCTCAAAAGCGAGTGACTTTATCAGTAACATAGGCTTACATAATACAATCTTGTATAATCTTAGGCATAATAACTTTACTTTACTTTGAATTAATCTCTTGTAAATGCTAGATACAAGTTTCTGAAGGTAGACTGTCCGCTACTCATTCATAAGTTTATTATCGCTGTGGAGGGAGATACTGTACAAAAGTCATTCATTCCTATGTACTGTCACTAGAAAATATTCTACAAAGATTATGACTTACTTTTCCTTGGAGAAGATTTTGGCGTGGCAGATACTTCAGAAATGACAGCTGGCTCTGTGCGACTCGTGTCAGAAGGGGCATCACTGCTAACAGCAGGGCTGTCAGTAGCAGTCAATGAGACAACACCTCCTCTGCCTCTACCACGCCCCCTGCCTCTTCCACATGCACGGCCCTGGGGTCTTCCCCTACCACGAGGTATAACCTCTTCGGCTGCTGATGTTGGCTGTGATTCATCTGTAGATTCTCCTTCCAAATCTACCGTCATATCATCACCATGATCATCATCACTACTACTGTATCCGCCTTCCAGACGTTTCTGTTCCTCAATACTGCGTCGCAACTGCACATCAGGAGTGCGCCTGCTTCTGAGCTTTCGCCTTTTGCCACCAGCATCTTCATCTGTTTCTACCATTGCCAAACTTCGCTTTCTTCGTCCATCGGTAACAACCTCTCCCTCGTCAGATTGGGAATCTAGTCTGCGGCTATTCCTACGTTTCTGACCAATCAGTTTTCCTTTTTGGACTGATTTCTCAATGGGTACTTCAGCTTTACTCCCTTTCTTGGATGGTGGCTGTGATTTCTTAATGTCAACTGGAGTCAACAAAGCCGTGCTTGACCTCGTCCTCCTGGATCTTGTGACAGGAAAACCATCATCTGCTCCTGCCAAGGGATCTTTTTCTGCAATATATATTACATCCTCCTCTTGTTTTGAGGAATCCACTTTCAATGAAGCCATGGAAGCTGATTTTGAAGTCTTGTTTCCTTTCTTAGGTTTTTCTGAAGAAGGTAATTTTGCAGGTAATTTTCCATGCTGCCGAGTTTGTATTCTGGTTTTCACACAAAGAATTTCTTTCTCTTCACTCTTTGGTGGTGCATAATCAAACGTGAGATCCTGTATTCTAAGTCTAGAATTAATTTCTATTTCCTTCTTTGGCATAACTTCTTTTACTATACTTATATCCTCTGATTTGGGAGATATGGTTTTACCTTCCTTCCTATTTTCTCCCTTCAACTTTCCAGACATAGGTGATCTTACACTAACTGTTTTGGAAGAATCTTTCTTCATAACTCGCTTCAAACTAACCTCTGGCTTTGTGTCTTTAGTGTCTTCTGGTGCTTTTTTAATTGGTAATTCTAATGTTTCACTTTCAATATCCTTGAGCACAGGAGTAACTTCAGCAACTCCTGACCTTCCTTCTGGCAAACAGTCATCCGTTTTTGTTCTGTCACTGGACTTTGGTAAAACTTTTGACACAATGCTGCCCTTTACCTTGTCACCTTTACCTCGAATACCTGCAGGAGATTTGTGTGTAGAAGAGGTTATCACTCTGCCATCAATATTCTTTTCTTCTGAAACTGCTTTGTGAACATCTGTACTTCCAGAGTTTGTTTCCTTTTCTTTGTCTGGGAATGGCTTACATTGTTCAACTTCAGAAACTTTGCTAGATACTGTGTTCAAATCTTTGGTTCCCAGGGTAACATCTTCCACTTTTTTTTCAACTTTTGAAGAGCTCACTTGTAAGGATGATACTTCTATTACACTTACAGGCGTACAAACAGTTTGTGGTAATTTTTCACTGGACTGGATTAGAGGATGAGGACCTTCTTCCTGTGACTCGACTTTGCTATCAGACTTGTCCTCCATCCCACTTAGTTTGTTACCTGTCTGTCTACTTTCCTGAATAACAGTTTCGTTCTGATTCGTTAATCTTTTCCCTTCAGCCTTCCCTATACTTGATCTCACTGTTTGTGTGTCCGGAACAAACACAACATATGAACTATCAGATTTTTTTATTGTTTGTACAACTCCAGAATGAGATGGCAGCTTATGTTCTAATGAATGTTTCAGAATTGGTGTCATGCTGAATCCTGGTACATTTTTCTTCACTGCTGTACCTACCAACTTTTCTGTGGGTGACTCACTAATTGGATACAAAAAGGGTCTTTCTGGTGAATCTGACAATGGCAGTGGTGATCCTTTCACTCCTGTATCCTGAAATTTGGCAGGTGGTTTTTCCAGTAACTTTTCTATTGGTGTTAAGGTAATAAAACCAGTTCGCACTTTGGGAGCAGCTTCTGACTTCGCTGGTGGTTCAGCTACAGGCTTGGGCTTTTCTAGGACAACCGTGGACTCCTCTACTTTCTCTGTATGCTTTTCAGAATGCTGAATGTCTACTGTTGGAGTACACGTAATTCTATCAAGTACCTTACTATCAGATGACAGTGGCCCTGGGAACTTTGTCTGGCAATCCAGTCCACTTTTCCCAGCAAGTTTGCTCATCATGATACCCATTGTGATATTCTCCACAGACTTCCTTCGACCCCTCCCAGATCCAATCAATCCTTGAGAAAGGAGCTTACCAGAAACACTACTTGAGCTTCCCCTACCTTGCATTAATAATGGTTTCAGGCCAAGAGAAGCCGGCGCCTCATTTTTTAAATTTTCTTCTACTGACTTCATGATTTGTTTCTCAATTGGAACCTCTTCAAATGCTTTCTTGCGTGGTGGTGCATCAGCGCTACCACTTGAACCTTTGGCATTAACCTTTTCAACGCAAACATTTGCCACTTTCTCAGCAGTATCAGATTTGCTGCCTTCTTTGGCAACGGCAATATCCGCACACTTTCCAGCATCTTTACCAGAAGCAACATCTGTTACCTTCCCTGTTGCGTTTGTGATGTCTGAAGCTTTACGAACAGTCTTATCCAAAGTAACAGCTTCATCTGCAGTTTTTGTGATACTAATGTCAATGGCAGTATTTCCACAAATTCTGTCAGCCGCATCCGATACATTTCCAAAGGATTTGTCTGAGACTGCACCCACATTAGTCTTACATAGTTTGTCAGTAGTATCATCTCTGTTTCTCCCACAGGCCTCAGCAGTGATGATATCCATATCTTGTGAACTTTTTTCATCACTGGTCAATGGAGATTTTCCAGCAACTTTATCATTTGTTACATCTGTTATTTTTACAACAGCTTTATCAGAAACATCATCATCTTTCCCCTTAGATTTATCATTAGTAGCATCCAAAGCTTTTTCTAAGGACTTGTCAGAGGCCACATTTATACCTTTTCCAATGGATTTGTTTGCAGTCAGATCCACAGATTTTGTGGTACTTTTATTATGAGTTTCACTGTTACCTCTCCAAACTGCTTTGTCAGAGTCATCCATATTTTTCCCAACGTTCTTTTCAGAAGTAACATTCACACATTTTACATCACACTTGGTGACATCCAAACACTCCTTTGCAGTTGTATCAGCACAAACAGCCATAGTTTTCTTGACAGAGCTTTCACCCTTCATAAGTGACAAAGGACCTTCAGTCTTATTTGAAAATGCGTCCATACCAACATGAAAGGAAGTGTCAATGGTGTCATTTGATATATAAACCTGTTCATCAGCAGCTTTCCCAGAAGTCTTTTCAGTCATATCTGTTACTCTGTCAATACTTTTCTGACCCATTTCCACTGTTTTACTCAGAGCTATTACTGACGTTTCAACTGCTTTGTCAACAGGTCTCCCATTTTCTTCAGTGTTTTTACCAATCAAATTATCAGCTACTTGAATGTCTTTGTTCCCAGGTTTCTCAGAGCTTTCAACAGATTTGCCATCAGTTTTATTAGTGGCTTCAATAATTGCACTACCAATTTTGCTACTTGTTTTGATACCCTTACCTACAGTTTTTTCAACATCTTCGGTAGAACTATTAGTTGCTTTGATAGTTTCCCCAACAGTTTTATTTCTACTAATATCTGCAGAGTGGAGAGTAGTGTAATCGGCTGAATGAGCAATAGGTTTGTCAGTCGTAAGCTGCAAAGATTTATTTGCAGTAATGTCCATGGGTTTACCATGTGTTTTGGCTACAGTGCCAATAATGGCTTTTCCAACAGATTTGTCTCTACTAACATTAACAGGTTTTGCATCAATTCTGTCTGAACCAATATCCACACGTTTTTCTACAGCTTCGCCTGAAGATTTTTCAACATTTTTTACTGCATCAATATCAAAAGATTTTTCAGAAAGTTTATCTGAAATTAAACCTTTTTCTACATTTTTGTCTGTACAGACATCTTCATCTTTTTCAACAACTTTGTCTGCACCAACAACCACAAGTTTCTCAACAGCCTTATTTGCACCAATCTCCACAGACTGCTTCACAGTTTTGTCTGCATCTTCAGCAACAGCTCTCTCTGCACTAATATCCATATTATTCTTAACACGTTTATCTTCATTAATGCACAAGCTTCCACCAGTTTTGTCGGAACCAACATCCACAGATTCTCTGTATACTCCCATATCCAGATCGTTTTTAAAATTCTGATCTACTGAAGAATTCTGCAAAACTGGTTTATGTTTTTTGGTGTCGGCTATGGGTTCACTGATTTTGTTTGTGGTAATACCTGCAGTCTTATCTACCATATGGTCACTCGAACTAGCTGTTGGTTCACTATCAATTTTGTCAGTGAACTCTCCAACACTTTTGCTCACAATAACATTATCTGCACCTTTTTCTTTACAAGTAGTAACCATTTTATTTACTAAAATATCCACATTTCCTGCAGCTCTGTTCACAGGAAAATCAATAGTTTTATCAGTCACAATAATACCTTTTCCAACACTTGTATCTGCTGACACAACCATAGATTTTTCACGAGTTTTGTCGAAGCTAATACTACCTGCCTTTCCAACAGTTTCATTAACAGAACTTTCTGCATTAGTTTTGTCTGCTGAGATAACATGAGATTTGTCAATAGTTTCATCTGTAGTGTTTAGAACTTTTCCAATAGTTTTTTCAGTTGTAATATGCTTTGTCTGTTGAAAAGTTCTGTCAGCAGTTTCATCCACTGCTTTACTAGCATTAATGTTATCCACAGGTTTACCAGTAATTTTTTCCAAAGGTAAAATTTCAGCTTTTCTGGCAGACTTTTCTGTTGGAATATCAGTAACTGTGATAATACTTTTTTCTGTAGTAACATCCACTGGATTTTTAACAAATTTGTCTGTGGTAATATCCACAGATTTTTCTAAAATTTTGTCGCTCAATTTGTCCATAGTCTTTCCAACAGTTTTCTTAGTTAAAAAATCAATAACTTTTCCAATGTTCCTTTCAGAAGGTGCATCCACTGGTTTCCCATCCAGTTTCTTTGTACTTATATCCTTTTCTTTCAAAACAGGTATGTTGCTACTGCCTTCAACCACTTTCCTCTCCACATTAACTTCAAGAGATTCTGCAAGATTAACAGCTTTCTCGGTAATTCTGTTAACAGTATTTTCTCCAACCCTTATGGAAGATTTATCATCAGCCATCAGGGATACTACAGCCTTATCTGCTGATGATTCAATTTTCTTGTCTGAAAACTGCAAGCATCCAGGACCAAAAAAGAATCGCTGTACAGGTTTTTTCTCTCTTTCAACAATACTCTGGTTTGAAAAAAATTCAGCACCAGTATCACTCTTTTCAGACATATCTAATTTTTGTGAACTGTAGTCAACAGACTCATCTCCTACAACTGGCAACTGCCTCTGGGAAATATCAGTCGAAACAGTTTCAGCAACTGCAGTTTTATCATTACCTGATCGTTGGAGTGATATACTGGACTGCACTTCAACATTTTGAGCATAAAGAGAAAGCTCAGACTTCATTAGTTTATCAGATAATACAGCATCCACTTTCAGATCTTTTTCATTGCAGGCATTATGTTCTACATTCACATGTTTATCAAACATTACAGAAGATTCAACATCAAGCTTTGAGTCTAGGCCCTTTCTGGAAGAAAGTAGGCTTCTAATGTGTGTGTCAGGTGATTTTTCTACAGGATTACTACTCTCATTTCCCATGTTGCAGCTGCCTTGAGTGAGTTCCTTTTCACAGACTACTTTCTCCTCAAATTCTGAGCCAGTCACAATATTTGAGGAGCTTACTGGAAAGTTGCTTTCAGATGAAAAACCAACCTGTTCTTGTTTTTTGTCATGTATAACATTATTATCCTTTGTTCTACTTAATTCATCATTTGAATATTTTTCAACAAAACAGGAATCTATGTTAGGAACACTGGGCTTCAAAATTTTTGTTGGATTAATAACAGTATCCTTAGGGCTGTCTCTCTTTGCCACTGCACATGTTTCTCCCAAATTCTGTGACTCATTTTCATTACAACTTTTTCCGTCACTTGCTACTGCCTTGGTATCACTAGGTTTGCCAACATCCCACCTTGATGCCCTCTTACAACTACTACCATCACTTGTAGACTTTTGTATAACTTGAACACCAAGAGACCATTTGGGTTTTGTAGTATGACCCGACAATTCTGGTTTCTTGGATAAACCTACATCAGCAGACTTGAAAGCTTCAGGTATTTCAGTATGACCTGACAATTCTGGTTTCTTCAATGGCCCTACATCAGCAGCTTTCAAAGCTGAACTACCTGAATTACCTAAAACTTCACCTTGAGGATTGCATATTGACTCTTTTGGTTTTTGATCAGGAGCACATATTGTTTCTATGCTCCAAAGTTTTGGTGGTGCTTTCGCAGGAGAAACTTTTACAGGTACCTCTGACTTTGCAGAATCTGGAGACAATGATTTAGAACTATCACAAGATGTTGTGATGTTCGCTGTATGCTGAAGAAACCTTTTAGTAACGGGCAAGGGTGCTTCACTGCACCTGCTAAGTTCTGACTTTTTCCTGTCAGACTCAGTGCTTATGCCTTGTTTCAAAGTAACTGTATCTGATATAATTACTGCAGAACCTGGATCACTGACATGTGACTGTTCTTTTGTTTTCGTACATTCTGGCTTCTTCTCTAATAACGGAGGAACAGCTGATGCATCTACTAGTTTCCGTGAGTCTGTTCTACCAAGAGACATGGACAACTCACAGGGTTTTGTAAAACTTTCAGCTGCTTGGAGTGAATCACACTGCATTGCGTCAGTCACCTTTGGGTTAACTACTTTATCACTGATGTTCAGTAACTCTCCCATGTTTTCTGCTCTCTGAAGAGACATCTGCTGAGAAGTATTCATCACAGACTGTCCTAAAGTGGAAGACTTCTCACACTGGTTCTGTGATTTAAGTGGCAATACAAATAATTGATCAGGACCCTTCCCTTGTCTAACTGTTTCTGTTTCCATTTCAGGTTTATTTGTTGTTATATGCTCCTGTTTACCATCCAATTCCTTTGATGGAATTTTAACGTGCTTTACATGATCATCATTGACTACTTCCCTATACACATTATCTTCACTCTGCATACTTGGTTCAGTTTGTATTACTGAAGCACCACTATCCCTTCCACATACTGCAAACTCTGAAGTCCCACTTGAAGACACTGAAACAACTACATCAAGTTTTCTACTTAACATCAAGTTTGACTGACAGTCCCTGCTTGATGCTTCAGTATCCATGCCTTCATTTTCTTTGCTTTTTGGTACTTTCCTACACACTGTTCCACTAACATCTGATGACAAGCTATTTGAAAGTGCAACGTTTTTTGAATCACTAATTGTTAAATAGGAACAATTACTTTCACTGTATTTTATATCATTCTGAGAAAATGCTGATGGATGGAACTGTTTTAATTTTGTATTATTTGAGTCTTTCATTCCCTTATCTTGAATATCCATCTGAATTTCCTTCCTGTCCTCACTATTAGAAGAATTCATATCTGGAGCCTCTTTAACTATGTTTCCAAACTCCTTCCTTTTAGAGTCTTGAAAGTCTTCATGACATGTAGGAGTTCTCTCTTTACTCAGTCTCGTATGACTATCTGATAATTTATCAATGGAAGTACCATCTATATCCGTTTGTGTACAGGAAACAGCATCATCTGCCTTTGTTTCAGAAGAGATATCCTTTAGGCACTCTTTGTTTGCTGCATCACTATCCTCCCTTTCAACATGTGGGTTTAAGGCTGATATGGTCATAAATGTGTTATCTCTTGGCATTTCTAGAAGTGAATCAGACTTTACAGCAAATGCTTTGTTTTTTAGCTCACTTGAAGCAGAATCTGTAGGAACTACCTTCGTAATCCCATGAGGAACATTAAACATTACATGACTATAAGAAGAGGTTTTCATTACCAACTCTTTATCATCATCTCCCTCTTTTGAATCCTCTTTTCTCTCACCACACTCTATTACATCTGCCACCCTAGCTTTGGTACCTACTGTTTTTTGTTCTTTAGTTGATAAATCTTCATGTTTTCTGTTAGTACATTCACTTACACAAAAATTCTTCACTTTACTATCAAGTGAAGAACTATCTCCTCCATTTGCTTCCTGGCTACTTCTGCTCCCGTCCTTTTCACCTTTTTGTGCATCTTTCCCTTGGTTGCCTGTACCACAGTCTTTACCTGATCCTTCCCCATAGACAAACAGCAATGGTTCTTCTATAGCCTCTCCCACCTCTCCATCATTTATATCATACTTTCTGCTTTCTGGATTAGACATTTTACAGTCTTTCCCTGAACCATCTCCTCGAATTAACATCAATGGTTCCTCCACAACTTCTCCTATTTCTACTGCACCTCTACTTGTGTTTACTACATCTTCAGACCGTAGCTTCTTTGCTAATGATAAGTCTTCTGTATCATTTAAATCTCTCTTTATTCCCCCACTTTTAGTAGTTTCTTTGGATCTCAAAATATCTTTAATGTCAGTCACATATCCATCAGACCCCATGCTTACAGCGGAGCTTCTTTCAATTTTTGACATATTTTCCAGTCTCTTTCCTTTACAATAGTCAATATAGGTTGCACTTGATTTCTTTGTACTAAGATCAGTTGCTTCGCTTTGGCTTCCTCTATCTGTGTTCCTATCCAAGAAATGTATGGAATGCCTCATTGATTCTCTTTGCACTGCATAATTATCTGTCGATTTTGTAGTACTCAAATCGCAGACTTCATCTTGATCGTTAAGCTGAAAGTTTGACGGCAACACTTTCTTTTTGTTTTCATTCTGATGGCTTCCAGATCCCTTCCTGCCACTTAAATCCAAACCTTTATTTTCACCTCCACTAATTAAGGTATTCATTCCTGACAGACTTGGGTTAGTACTTTCCCCCTCCTGATCCTTTGCATCTTCACTTGAGTCTATCAACATAGCCTTCTTTCCTGAATCTATGCAGTCAGCAATGTCTCCACTTACACCCCCTAGCAGTCCTTTTAGTTTAATTGTAGGCTTCTCCATTTCCTTTCCTGTTCCTTGACCATATGGCTTATCATCTTGTGAGTCTCTCACAGGCAAACATATTTTTTCTCTAAGCTCCTGGCCCCCTTTACATTCCACAGGAACAGAATACAATGCTCTGAAAGTAGAATTTTCATCACTTTCCCTATTATCTACTACTCTCTTAGTCTCACACAGTTTGTTAGAATATATATATTTATCTAGAGAAACTGACTTCTCACCTGGCCTTAATGACACACACTGAAGAAAAGATTTTGCCAATGCACCATCTTTCTTACTGGTTTCAACTGAGGGATTCATACCATTTGCTGCATTTCCTGAAAAAATTTTCCCTTTATTTCTAAGTACCACGGTTTCCTCTCCTTGCTTCGGTTCTCTACTCAGCAATTTCTCTTTCTCAGAAGAAACAGTGGATGCTGCTGCTTTGAAATCAGACACATGTATATCCTTTTTTGTACTCAAGTTCCAAGATTCTTGCTCTTTGCTTTTTACAGGTTCCTTTATTTCCACATATAACTTTCTATCTTCTGACATAACAGATTCTGCTTCCTTACTTGCATCCCTAACCAATAATTCACCCTGTTTTGATACATCCATTCCAACATCTTTGTTAGAGTGTTCTGAAGATCCCTGATCATTTGATTCAGCCTTAACAAAAATACCATGTTTATTTCTGTCTGCCAGTTCTACAGAATCCTGAACTTTCTTTCTTTCTTCCGAGGGAGCACTACTCAATCCATGATCTGCTAACTTTAGACCTTTTTGCTCTCTCTTTTGCTTGCCACATACAGCATCCACACTATTACAAACAGAAGCTGCATTTGTTTCATTAAGTAGAATTTCATTGTTTTTTGTATCATTCTTTGTTTCCTTCTCTGAAGATTTCACGATCTCGCCCTTCTTTGTTTCAAAATTTGATGGTTTAGGCCCCAAATTTGTTTTCAACTCTTTTTGACGATCTTTGTCAGAATCGTTCATCTCTTCCTCCTCCTCCTCATCCTCCTCTTCTTCAATCTCTTCAAATTCTCCGTCTTCATCTTCGTCAGCAATAGGTGATTCAATTACCTGTCCAGTATCTGTTATAGGTTTCTCAATCTCTAGGCTGTTGCTATCCTCATTGAGAACTGCATCAGGATAATTACGAAACGGATCATTGGAAGATAACTGTGAAATCAGCTGCACCAAGCCTTCCCGGTCTCTGAAAAATAAATCATCTTTCAGCTATACTACCCTCTTATAAGCTATTCGGCAATACACAAAAACAAAAAAATATTTCACTCATAAAACCAAACCTTGCAATTACACATCATACATGTTTCTTATCAAGGATGTACACAATTTAAATTTCTTACTGGGACTACTTGCCTTTACTAACACTTTCTACACACATCTGCAGTCATTCAACATAAAGTAGGTCTACTGAACAAGATGGGTTAAGATCACTTCTGACTCTATATTCACAGCCACCCTTCCATTATTATAACATTAAGCGACTCTGCAACTGACACAGCAGTATTAAATAAATGATAAACAATGCCCTACGATATTACAATGCTACATTTCCTTTCCATTGAGTAACGTGTTCAAGTTTTGCAATGTCAAAAGCTTCTTTTATTTACAGCCCTACTTAGAGTGCCATACTGAGAAAGCTCCCATGCCATTCCAGTTATGCCACAGCAAATGAAAGACAATAAGGTGGGGTGGGGTGGAGATGATGCTGTAATATCACTCATCAAAATGAGATGGCTCAGTTCCTTTTGCGCCTTATCAGTAGTTCACTGAACATACATAAAGTAAAGCTGTCCCTGTGCTTAACTAATTAAGCACTACGCCATGAAGGCATATGGGGGAGTAGATGTATATAGCCACATTTTCTTGACCTCGGTACTAGTTGGAGGTGAGTGGTCAGCTTCACACCCTGGCCGTTTCACACCCGGTACCCACTGCATAGGGGGATGGATGAGCTCCAGAGCCAGTCTGGAAGATGTGAAGAGAAAATTCTTGACCTTACAAAGACTTGAACTTTGACCTCTCGGTCATCCAGCCTGTAGCCTGTCACTATACTGACTATACTATCCCAGCTCCCACTAACCATAGTGCAAATAATGACAACTGAGAAGAAATCCTTGGAAGAACTTATGAGCCTACTTTTCTTTCAATGCTTCCCTCCCTATAAAGTGGCTATAAAAATATACTGTGACATACAGACCCAATGCTAAGCACTGACTGTAAACAGCAGCTGTTGCTAGCTAATGCCCGCAAGATACACACACACAACAATATATGAACAGGGTTAAGCAACCCATTTTGAAGCAAACGGTTCAGCACATGTTTCCATTGCAATGGATACCAATGCGACAACAGAAGAACGGTGTTTTCTATGGGCTCCGTGCCAACATGTTACAAGCAGGTCAGTCTGAAGCAACAAGTTAGCTGTTGGTTGGAGTTGTCAACAGTTCAATTAAGAATTCTCAGCAGCTCAGTTGAGTGAAGTGACGTGAAGTAGTTGGTTGGTGAGTGACAGAGTTGAGCTGGCAGTTGACAAGTGTTTTGCACAGGCAGCTGTAACAGGAGGACCTGAGTGCAGGAAGCTGAAGAATCTACCTTGGTAGAAACAGTTGCCAGGAAATGGCTAGTGGAAACTGTAGCAGACTGAGGACACCAGTGTGTGTGTGTGTGTGTGTGTGTGTGGCAGTGATCTCTGAAGACAGGTTCTGAGTGGTGTATACAAGCAGTCAATAAATCCATTCACCAATCCACACCCTGTCTATAGCCACGCCTCTAAATTGTAACAATATAAATTAATAAGTATAAATTCGAAATAATCTGAAGGAGGAGGCACTTGCCTACAAGGACTGCAGAAAACAATGAAAAACTTCAGTCAGGACAGCCAATTTCTAGCTGACATTAAAACCAAGCACCACCCAGATACATGACTGGAGCATTACTGCTACAACAGCCCACTCAGTGTCCTCTTACTGGTCATGTAAGCATGCACAATACATACATCTGGAGTGAAGAAAACTCTGTATGGGTGTGAAACTTGGTCTTTGACTTTAAGGGAGGAACACAGACTGAGGGTGTTTAGGAGAATATTTGGACTGAAGACAGATGAAGTGACAAGAGGTTGGAGAAAACTGCATAATGAGGAGCTCCAAGTATAATCAGAAGGATAAAGTCAAGGAGGATGAGATGGGCAAGGCATGTAGCACATATGGGAGAGAGGAGAAATGCATATAGGATATTGGTGGGAAAGATAGAAGGAAAGAGGCCACTGGGAAGACCAAGACATAGGTGGGCGGACAATTTTAAAATGGATCTTAGAGAGATAGGATGGGATGGTATTGACTGGATTTATCTGGCTCAGGATAGGGACCAGTGGAGGGGTTCCATAAAATGCTGGGAAGTTCTTGAGTAGCTGCACAACTGACAGCTTCTCAAGAAGGGCTCAGCTCCATGAATGAGTGAGAGAAGAAAACACAAGTGGAACTCTTCAGTTTAGAAGGACAAGCTCCAGAAAATACTGCAAAACTTCTTGCACTGCAAGACATGCTTGAAGGCAGAAGTGGATCACTTCTACCAGTTCTTACAAAATATGTTAAGTCTGTGTCACCTTTGTACAGTAATCAGTACTGAAATCTTAGTACAGAGAGGTAGTGATGCCTGTAGGACAACTCCTCAGCCACTCCCTAGCACAGTCATCCAGTAAACTAATGCCTCATTATCACCAACAGCACTATTCTTTTTCCTTTGGAAGCTCTGTGTAACACAATCCCCAAACCAGAAGGAAGAATTATTTACCTTGCAACCACCTCCCATGTTTCATCATCCAAGTCCTCACGGTAAACTCGGAGATTACAATCTTCATCAAGTTGACACCAATAAGACTGCCCCAATTTGTCCCTACCAAGAGGCTGTGACCGTAGTTCCTCAGCACTCAGCCGATTTACTTCTGTCTTGAACTTGCTGTTCAAATCAAACTGAAGTTCCAGCAGCATCTGCATACAGACACACATTCAATGTATGTACTGAACACAGAGTAGTACGTATACCTAATTACAGAAAAGTTAAACATATTTTTTTTTCCAAGTTTAGGACAGTTTTTCAACTGCTGAGGTTATGCAGTAATTGTGAACGATGAAACAGACGAGATATGAGACAAAACAGTCATGGCCTGTTTTAAGATGCTATCCTGGCATTTGTCTGCAAGAACTGGGGAAAACCATGAAACCCTCAACTAGATCAGTCAATTTCGAGTAGCTCTAAAATGTGAAGCAAGTTCATTATTACCAAGCCAATTTTCTGACTCCAAGTTATGCAGTATGTCTCTACACCAAAATATTTCATTCTGATGTCACACAACTATTATATAATAACCTGCAATACAGTGCAATCCTGTCATATGAGTATCAGAGGACAACCTAAACATGTGTTATAACAAGCCAATATTCCAACAAAACATCGGGCCCCCATATCTAAAAAAGGCTGCCTTTCAGCATGCCTCACTTTTACTTACTTACTTACTTACTTACTTACTCGTGAAGCCTAGCCCTTCTGGAGGAGCCACCAATTCTGCAGCTACTCAAGAATTTCCCAGCATTTTATGGAACCTGAAGGTTCATTACCATGTTCACAAGAGCCCTCCTCCACTGGTCCCTATCCTGAGCCAGATATATCCAATCCATACCA